TAAGGAGGGACTAGAACTCACTGTCTCCTGGTGATTGGCCCAAAGTCACCCAGCCATCTTTCATGCCTAAGGTAGAACTAGAACTCCCAGGTCTCCTAGTGATTGGCCCAAAGTTGCCCAACCGTCTTTCATGCCTAAGGTAGAACTACAACTCCCAGGTCTCCTAGTGATTGGCCCAAAGACACCCAGCCGTCTTTCGTGCCTAAGGCAGAACTACAACTCCCAGGTCTCCTAGTGATTGGCCCAAAGTCACCCAGCCGTCTTTTGTGCCTAAGGTAGAACTACAACTCCCAGGTCTCCTAGTGATTGGCCCAAAGTCACCCAGCCGTCTTTCGTGCCTAAGGCGGGACTAGAACTCACTGTCTCCTGGTGATTAGCCCAAAGTCACCCAGCCGTCTTTCATGCCTAAGGTAGAACTAGAACTCCCAGGTCTCCTAGTGATTGGCCCAAAGTCACCCAGCCGTTTTTTGTGCCTAAGGCAGGACTAGAACTCACTGTCTCCTGGTGATTGGCCCAAAGTCACCCAGCTGGCTTTCGTGCCTAAGGTAGAACTAGAACTCCCAGGTCTCCTAGTGATTGGCTCAAAGTCACCCGGCTGTCTTTCGTGCCTAAGACAAGACCAGAACTCCCAAGTGTCCTAGTGATTGGTCCAGCGTTCATGCTTAAGGCAGGACTGGAACTCACCGCCTCCTGGTTTCTCGGTTAACCGATATTACACCGAACTGGCTCTAAATCTGGGATGTTCGTCTGCGCCAACTGCTGACTGAGTGGATCCTGCCCCGTTTCAGTTGCCTTCGGGCATCAGGCCCCCCCAACCAGGCACGTGCTAAGGCTGGGACCTGATGGGAACCGTTTGGGGAATCCCGGGCCCTTTGAAAGGGGATCCTGAACGTTCAATGTTCTGAAGATTTATAGCATGGACAGAAGCAACCTAGAACAAAGGAGCAATTTCCCGACAGCGACAACAATTAACCAGTGGAACAGCTGGCCACCAGAGGTTATAAATGCTTCCACACTGGAAGTTGTTCGGAAGAGACTGGGCAGCCAGTTGTCTGAAACAGCATAAGGTCTCCTGCTTGAGTAGCGGGTTGGGGTAGAAGACCTTTCAGGTCCCTCCCAACTCTGTCATTCGGTTATCCCATCCGAAGAACAGCTGCAGAAATTGGGTAGGTCTAGTTTAATGAAAAGAGGGACTTGGGGTGTGTGTGACATGATAGCAGCCTTCCAATACTTGAGGGGCTGCCCCAAAGAAGAGGAAGTCAAGCGATTGTCCAAAGCACCAGAAGGCTGGAGGAGACGCCATGGAGGGAAACCAAATAAGGATAGAACCAACCTAGAACTAAGTGTTGTGGCCAGACAGCGGCCAGTGGAGCTGGCAGCAGAGTCGGACAGTGAGGAGGTTAGGGAGGAACCTGGGCCAATCCCGGAGTCTGGGGAAGTCTCGGATGAGGGCTCTGCGTCAGAGGCAGAGATGGAGCCAGGGCTGTCTGACAGTTATCAGCCGCCTTTGGAGTCGGAGATCAGTGGGGAAGAAGAACAGCTGGAGCCTGTTCCCAGGGTGCATATGTGTAAAGCTGCCAGAAGAAGGGAACAACTAAGGAACAAGAGGCAGTGATGGGGCCAGGACCATCCGATAGTTATCAGCTGCCTTTGGAGTCGGAGATCAGTAGGGAAGAAGAACAGCTGGAGCCTGTTCCCAGGGTGCGTATGCACAGAGCTGCCAGAGGAAGGGAACAGCTGAGGAACAAGGGTAGACTCGGGAGTAAAAGATCAGGTGGATGGTGAATAGCCCCTCCCATAGGGAATCAAGAGGAGCAAAAGGCAAGTGGTGTTTGCAGGAGCCAATTAGTTCAATTCATGAGGGTGAAGATCTGTTCCTGACTTCTCGCCAAGTCATTGCTGTGTGGCGTTTGGAAGCTATCGGCCTGGCAACTCTCCCAGCCTGATCAAGGTCTGTAGTTGTGAAATCTCATGAAAGACTGTTGGCCGGCACTTTGCTGGAGAGGAATTTCTTTTATAAACTAAATAAAAGGGTTTTTTTTTTATCGGGACGAGGAGTCGGCTTCATGATCTTGGGAAGCCTCGGTCAGAACACTAAGGAGGAATTTAACCAGTGGAACGACTTGCCACAAGAAGTTGTGAAAGCTCCAAGACTGGAAGTTTTTAAGACGAGCGCGGACAAGCACTGGTATAGGGTTTCCTCCCTAAGCAGGGGTTGGACTAGAAGACCTCCAAGGACCCTTTCAACTCTGTTATTCTATTTGGTTCATGTGCGCCGAGGACTCCAGGGTCTTTCAAGAACGCGACTGACCTGGCAATGTAGCGGCTGGTGATGGACCGGTTGGGCCAGCTTGGTGGAGAATACCCGGAAGCGCCAGGCGCCGAGTCTGACCGGGATGCTGCAGGAGAGAAAGAGAACCAGTTCATCACTAGGTATTAACACGGAGGTAGGCTTTGCAGGTTCTCCTCGACCTATGACCATTCATTTAGTGACTGTTTGAAGTTACATTGGAACTGAAAAAGAAAAGAGTTTCGTGAGCGTTGTTCCACAGTTATGACCATCGCCGCTTCCCCGCGGCCATGCAATCAAAATCTGGGCGCTTTTGTCACCGGGAGAATTTTTTTACGATGGCCGCACTGTGACCCGGAATTGTGTGTTCTCCTTTTGCGACCGTTCCAACCAGCTTGCTATGCCCCTGTCGGCGTCTGAATCTGAGGAGGAAGAGCCGACAGGGAGGGGGAGGGGGGGCTGCATTGGCTGTGGAAGAGGCTGGGGAAGGGCAAAGTCCGGCTGGGAAAAGCAGGGAAGAGGTAGAACAAGGGAGAGGGAGTCCAGGGGAAGACTCAGGCCCATCCCCTTCTTCATCCTAGGGCACGAAGGGAGAAACGGAGAAGGGAGCAAGTTGGGTTGCATGGCTTACGGGGGAGGAAAGGGCCCTGATTCCCTTCACTAGGCACACCTGGGAACGAGAGTTTAAAAGTAATGCAGGCTGAGTTCAGGAGGTCCTCAAACTTGGCAACTTTTAAGACTTGCGGACTTCGAACTCCCAGAATTCCCTAAGCCAAAAGCTTTTCTTTAAATGGAGTTTTATTTTACAGCAAGGACAATAATGTTTCAGAGTGACAGACTGGTGAAGTTTGATAGGCGGGAGAGGATTTGGGATGCTGTAAATCAAGGGCCTCCAAATTTAGCGCCTTTAAGGCTTGTGGACTTCCACCTCCCAGAATTCCCCGGCCAGCTTTGCTTGCAGTTTTCTTGAAATGGCGTTTTGTTTTCGAGCGAGGACAGTGATTTTTTTTTTTTAAAAAGTTATACCTTTGGTAAAGTTTGAATAGCAGGGCAGGATTTGGGATGATGTAGCAGGTGTCTCCAAGCTTAGCAACTTTAAGCTGGGTGGACTTTAATTCCCAGAATGCCCCAGCCAGCAAAGCTGGCTGGGGCATTCTGGGAATTGAAGTCCACCCAGCTTAAAGTTGCCATGGTTTGAAAAAAAAAAAAAAAGTACATTGAATGCCTTACAACCAGGTGTGAAGTGTTATCCCTTCCTCCCAGGCAGAGCGGTGGGGGAAGTGTTGAGACAAACCGAAAGGAAAATGTGGATTGATGCTCGCACCGGAAATCTAAGTGGCCGACATCAATCAAGCATCAAACCACACTCGGATGCCGCTGCAGCCGTTAATTCTAATTTAAACAACGGGAAACGAAATCAACACACGAAGCGATCTGCATCCTAAGCGATCTCAACAAACGATGCGCTTTGTCCCGCAGTCACGCAGCAGCTCTTAAGTCTGACCCCTCCCCCCCCCCCCCCCGCGCCCCTCCCCCTCCCCCCCCCCCCCCCCCCCCCGCCCCCCCCCTGTACACACCCCCCCCCCCCCCAATCACAGATGCCCGTGAAAAAGACAGGTGAGGCAACCCACACCTAAGTCCATCCAAGTCTCCCGGAACCTTCACCTCCCTCTCTGCAAGGTACATTTGGCTGAGGTGCTAGACTGACTCCCGGATCGGCTTTATACATTCATGAACTCGGGAGAATGAAGCAAAGCATCCAGCAGCGTCCGGCTGTTCCCGGCCAGCCTGTTCTTGAGAAGAGAGGGGGGGGGAGGCAAAGGGAGGGGACAGGAGAGGAGAGGAGAGGAGAGAGAGAAGAGAGAGGAGAGAAGAGAAAGGGAGAGAGAGAAGAGAGAGAGAGGAGAGGAGAGAGAGGAAAGAGGAGAGAAAAGAGAGAAGAGAGAGGAGAGAGGAGAGGAGAGAAGAGAGAGGAGAGA